TTTTTCAATTAAAAATGTCAGGAATAGCGCTGAGTTCAAGGTTTTATACAGTAGCCCATCAAAACCTTGTTTTTGCTTAGAAAACAATCAAATTTGAATCGAAAAACGGGTCCACTCCTTTAGTATGGGTTTTTTTGGGCTTCTTTTGTTAGCCTGCAATTCCCCATACCTGTCTATGCCTCTGAAAGGGGGGTCGCTAAAGGGAATTGTTGGCCTGGCTGAATAGGCAAGGTCTTCTGTTCCCCTGTGAAGGGGTTAGGGATGCGATGATAGCGGAAAGGGATCGACTCATTTGCTGAATTGTACTGTAGGTTTTTGAAAACTGAAATCTGAGTCCACCCCCTTTGTTTTTACGGTTGGCTTTCCTTTCTTAACATAGATGGATTCCTTCACGCCCCTCTAAAATCACCTATTTTCTTTGTCCAAAATGTGAACATTCTGGTCCTCAGAAGAATGTCCTTTGTCCAAAAAAGTGTAGATGTACCGCAGAGTTTTGTCCCGAGGACAAGACTCTGGCTTCTGTGTTGGGCAATGCGTCTGGGGTTTTTGTCCTTAGCATGCACCAGCCTCTGTCTAAGGGTCTTGTTTGGTTTGAAATGTAGTTGGATTTTGTGTTTTTAGAAAATCCTCTTAAGCTTTTCAGAGACCAGCTACATATGGTATGAAGATGTTTTTGTGTTTAATCTTCTCTCCGTTATGTTATGCTGTGTGTCTTTCGGATTTCCTTTCAGATTTGGAGCTTCCTGGAGGACTGGGACACACTATGCACTCGAACCCTGAGCGGGAGCGCACAATTGAAGCATGCAAGGGCAGGAGTGTGGGATATTGGGTCTGGGTCAAACAGACTCACTGTTGAGGGCCTTTTAAGCTATTCCTGGTTCAGATGAGACTTAATATGGCCGGCCCTTTAAAGGCTTGCGCAACAGAGTGAGATGTGGGTAGGGTGAGAGAGTAGCAAAAGGTTCCTAGAGTGGCCAATTGCAGTTCAAGAAAGAAAAACAGCAACAGCGGATTACAAAGCTAAACTAAGCCAAAAGGAATAACTAACTGGTAAACAGAAATGTAGTGGACTAGTAAGTACAATTTCTAACTTTGAAGTGTAGTGGAGTTAACGTTAAGGTACGCCAGCCAAAAAAAGATTACTTAAGATACTCAAAAAATATACTTAGGTACATTAATCAAATAAATTTACACAGTTACTGTCCACCACTGATTACAAGTAAGGAAATGGTTCTAAGACCATGTCTAAAGGTTTTTAAGTTCCAGCGGCAACAGTGCAAAATATGATAGACTGTGGAAAATCCCAGAAGATGTGGTCAGAAGCAGAAAGTGACACCTGTGCTGACTAGAAGGACATGGAGTGAGATGAAACACAATCCAGTTATCAACACCATGATCACCCTGGTGAATCTGGGCTCTACTAGTGCTGAAGTATCAAAGACAGACACACAATGGCTGCTGTACACTGCTGGGTTCAATAGATGCAGAAGGCCATTTTTCCAGATAAGGCAAACCTAAAACCTGCTTCATCTTTGCAAATAATCATCTAAACAAAGACGACTTCTAGTATTCTTGTGAGATGAAGCTAAATTTGAATCAATCAGTAAAATCTACAGATCTAAAACAATTGATTAATCGTAACATGCTGGAAAAAACATTAGTTTTTACATTTTTTTTTACATTAGTATTACTGTAGCCATCGTTTTTTGACTGGTGTGTTTAACTTCATAGATGTTTAACTTCGGTGTCATGACTTCCGCAGCCATGTGGGAACCTCATGTAAGGATGTGGCATACATGTAGCATGCAGGATAACATAGAAACATCCCATGAATAATAATTAAAAGAGGTGTGCTGTACATTCCTGAATTGAGCTGGTAAGACAGTCAGCCCATATAGGGACCGTCTGAGCTGAAAGGGGGCAGGAATGTGGGGAGCAGACTTCCAGTAAGTGGAAATATTCATGGAAGAATTAGCCTTGGAATCTCAAACTTGCACTGAGCGACTCCTGTTTACGCTGTAAATCAGCTGGTCAGGGGCTGATATGCTCATCTGTTTGTCATGAAGGCACAAGAAAAAATGTGCAGGTTTGTGCTTTGGCTTTCCTGGGAATCAGATGGTTGAACGGGAATAAAACTCCACTGGTAGAAGAGGGTACCACAAGATGGAGGTCATGGAGTAGGACAACACTGTCAATATTTGCTACAGTAATGATCTCAAATGTGTTAGAAGAGAAGTTTATAGCACTAAAGCTGTTGGGGTTATATATATCTATATATATATCTACCTCTCTTGTTGCTCTCAATCATTTTAGTTTAATTTGTGAGAAGTATCCACAAATTAAGAAGTATGGAAGTAAACTACAAGGACTTTCTCACCTGCTTTCATTACACATTTGGCTAAGAGGATTCATTCTGATGGGCTGTTCAGGTCCGAGCAGATTTTTATGACATGTCCTGCAGACAGTGTTTCAGACCTTTCAATAGGTTTAAGTAATTTAAGATCTAAGAGAACATGTAGAAAAGAAGGGAATTGCTTTGGTTTTGCTTGTAGATTTACATTAGTTAGTACATTTGTAGAAAACACTTTCAAAAAATCTTCACATTACGTTAATTACATTAAGGAAATTTTGGTATTAAAAAAAGCCTGGGAAGAAATTGCTTCAGTTAGCTTCTGTAAAAATACTTTTTTCCATTTCAAAAAACAGCGGAATTCCTTCAAATTTTTAGCCGAAGTTATTAAGCGTGACAGAGTGACATACTATATCCGTTGGTTGTGCTGTTCTTTTTACATCTCTTTGCAGGTGATGAAGCAGACTGAACATGTTACCATTATCTCCCTTTCATCTCCTCTTTTCTCCTTTTTTTCTGTTTTTCCTCTTCTGTTCTACTTACATTGTGTCCATTTAATCTGTAAAACTCCCTGCGTAATTATAATAAAGCAATTTATATGCATGAAACAAGCGTAAAACTATGGCAATAGCCCTACTGTTCCACTTGTGAAAGTAAAATCTGTTGGGCTCTTTTTGGCATCAAGACAAGTATTCTTATTGCCATTTTGCCAGACAGGACACTGTTAAAAAAAAAGAGTGAAAGAGGAGGTTCTAAACTACATAAAGCTCCAGAGCCAGAGGTCTATTTATTTACCTTTGCTCAGCAAGGAGATGCCACTGAGATTAAATGCTTACAAAGGACACCTGACAGGTAGCTGTAAAACCAATAAAAAGGTTCAAATCTCATAATTAAACAGGAATTAAACATAATAAATCGTATTCAAATCAAGTAAACTAATAACAGTTGCACCATTTTCACTGCAACCTTTGCGATATCCTTGTGATATCATGGATATGATTGTTTTTAGAATGGATTTCGACCCAGATGTGAAGTAAAGCAGCATTTCTCATATAATACCTGTAGCCTTGTACTGTGGGTCATCTGAATTAAAAAAAAAAAAAAAAAAGTCTCCCACACTTTTAGAAGCAGGATGACAACAAAGCAAAATGTTCTGCAAAATACCCTCATCCCATAACCAACAATTCCCCAGCAGGTGTTTATTCCATATTGCTGCCTATAGTGATTTATTAAATGTTGTATATTGGTTAGGCATCAACTGAACCGAAAGCTACATGTTTTAGATTCATTTTACAATTTTGAGTCTATATAACAGCAGTGATATTTTTTTTAATTTTCACACAGTAAGAATTTCATACCTTCTAACTGCATTAAAAGTGTTAAACAGAAGGAATGCAATAAAATATCCCTAAATATTGTGTGAAATTTTAAACGTATGGACATTTTAATGAGATTTAAACAAGTTTGTCAGAAAACCTGTATCAGATAATGTTAGTGAACGTTGCTCGGACTATTAGCAGCACTAATGACCTTCTGCTGAGGATTCTTTGCAAACATAGAGCCCAGATGAGTAGTCTATATGGCAACAGGAAATCATCTTAATGTCAACAATGTGGTTGTTTTGATAAACCGTCCACGCTCCACTGCTCATCAACAGCTCAGCTGTAGAAGTGGTCAGCAGCACCAAATTCCTGGGGGTGCACACCACAGACACCCTCAGCTGGACTGTAAACACCACCTCTCTGATCAAAAGGAAATAAAACGTATGTACTTTTTGTGGAGGATGAGGAGAGCCTACCTGCCCCCACCCATCCTCACCACCTTCAACAGAAGCACCATAGAGAGCGTTCTGACCAGCTGTCTCCGTGTGGTGTGGAGGCTGCAGCACCTCTTCCCTCCATTAAAGACATTTCCTCCCAGCGCTGCGTTTCCCGAGCCTGTAACATCATAAATGACCCCTCACATCCCCACCATGGACTGTTCTCCCTGCTGCCCGCTGGGAAGAGGCTTCGCAGCATTTAATGCAGGTCCAGCAGATTCCAAAACCGCATCTTTACCATCGCCATCAGACTTCTGAACTGTTGAGAAAACTCTAAATCATGTCAGACTCTGCATCACACTGACACCAAACCAAAACGCTACATGATGGCACCATATATATTTAATGCTCTGAACTTCCATATCAATGCACCATATTTGTTTTTCCCACTTTTTACATTTGATCACTGCTGCATTTTAAGGACTGCAAATGTCATGAAAGCTGTACAAATCAAAATTTCATTTTGTATACACTGTGTATACAAAAAAGCAATAAAAGTTGTCTAATTAAATGTTTTTGGAAGAGATAACCTGGCCTTTATCACGGTTTTCTTAAGAATAATCAAATATACTGACAGAGAGGCTGAATGTTATCTTACAAAAACACAAAATTATATTGTGATGCTTTAATGGCTTTGAATATCAATTTATAAATTCTCATTGGGCAGTTAAAAAAAGATTGATTTAAATTTCATTAGTGAAAGTCATTTTTTAGAATGAACATTTCTCGAGCAGTACAAATATTTTAAAATAAATATAAATAGGATTGCTCGCACTACCAGTCAAAAACATAACAAATCTTTAAAGAAAACAAAGCCAGAATGTATTAGACTTCATTTTAATTGGGACACATTTTTCTTTACAGAAGAAAATGGAAAGTGCATTTGTTTGCCCAGAGAGGCAGAAGAGATGAGGTCCAGCTCATATTTTTTTATGTACACTGAACAAATGTATTACATGGCTTTAGAAACATAACTCCCAGAGACAGGTAGATGAATATTCATTTAAAACTTGTATTTAGAACACATTTCCTTTCATTCTCCATATGAACCTGCACACAATCCAAACATAATACTGTGCCCTCTGTATCTTTGCAGTTCTAGCATGAAACTCTCAAGGCAACTCCGCTGTTAAAGGAGCAGCTATGGCATTGAGTTCATGTGTGTCCACAGCAGGGCCACACATCAAAGACGTGTCCTGCAGAAGGGACACCAGCACAACAGGACCAGGCTGCTCTGCTTTGTTTTCCAAAGCCCCAGACTTTGGGACGGGTTCTCTGTGCTTTTTGTACACCACTCTCTTAGCTTCATTATAACCGCTCAATCTGGACGCAACAGATCTTCTTGGTCTCTGCTTCTTCGGTTTCTTCCCTTCTGGGTTGTGAACGACACTGTGGCGCTGGAGACTTTGCTTCATGGCAAACGCCCTCCCGCAGCCGCCGTGGGTGCAGACAAATGGACGCAGGTTCTCATGGAAGGAGCCAATGTGGCTCTGCAGGTTGAACATGGTGGTGTAGGACCGGCTGCAGCCCTCCCTGGGACACTTGAAGACCACTCTAGTGTCAGAGTGGACGTCCTGGTGCTGCTCAAGGAACCAGGAGTCTCTGAACACTTTGCTGCAGTGCTTGCACTTCAGGGCCACCCTGTGCTGCTCCTTCCTGTGCTTCAGGAGGTCTGTCCAGGTCTTTCCTGTGAAGGAGCAGTCCTCCTCTTCGCAGGGGTAACCTTTGTGGACCTTCTCGTGTCTCTTCAGCTTACTCGGGGTGGGAAATCGCATATGGCAGCCCTCGTAGGTACATTGGTAAGGAGGCAGCTGCGTGTGCTGCTCACACATGTGGGCCTTCAGCTGCTTGTTCTTCTTGAACTCGAGGCCGCAGCCCTGAAACTTACAGCCATATTTCTTCTGCTCCTGTCCGTGCGCGCGGCCGACATGTCTGCTCCGGTTGGCGCTGGTGGTGAAAGCCTCCGTGCAGCCGTCCACGGAGCAGGGGAAGGGCTTCTCGCCGCTGTGGCTGAGCTCGTGCCGGGCCAGGTGGTACGGCGTGGAGAAGGACTTGCCGCAACCCTCGTGTTGACACGCGTGGGGCCGAACTCCAGTGTGTTTGCACAAGTGGGCGTCCAATTTCCACTGTCTGTTGTAGGTAACCGAGCAGTCGGGAAAAGAGCAAAAAAACCTTTTAAATGGCTCTATTTTGGTTTCCATGTTCAACGAATGAAAAGAAACAACCGGGCGGCTTCTTCTTCTTCTTCTCTTCTATTATGGCGGATCACAAGCAACTTTAAGGTGCATACCGCCACCTACTGTACATGAGTGTGTAGCAGCGTTACTTCACATCTATTAGATTCTATTTTTTAATTTTGTATTCTTAAGATACATAAACAATGCTTTCCTTAGTTTATGAATATCTGTTATGTTTCCTTCATTTCCTAATATTGCAACCGGGCGGCTTCTTCTTCTTGAATTTTTTAAGGCGGTTGGCGAAAACGTTAGGTGAGCATTACCGCCACCAACTGGTAAGGAGTGTGGACCGAAACTTTTTTTTTTCAATAAAACGTTATTAACAAAATTGACAAACAGTATCAAAAATCATATCAAAACATCAATTAATACATTACAATAGTACTAATAGTGAAAAAGAAAACAAAAGAGAGTTACAAAAAATGAAACATATGGGAGGGGTACACAATTTTCATATACATTTTTCAAAGGCATTAAAATTATTCAAGGTCTTTATAGCTTTCAAATTTGTTAAACCTTTTAAGTTCCAAGGTTGCATTTCAGTTCAGTTTTGAATTGAGGCAAATTGGGTTTTACATTGGACCATTTACATTATGAACATAAAACTTTCCAAATAAAATAAGAAAATTCAAAATAAAAGAGTCCGTTTGGGTCAAACATTTTGAATCATTAACGATAATGATGTCTTTGCACTGCAGTGTTATTTGTCCATCACAATATCTTTTAAATAAGTGTTCAACTATCCCAAAAAAAAATTGTTTCAGTGACATTGTTTCAGTGACAGCTTTACAGAAAGTACAAAATTCATAAATTAATTTGTTGGATATATTTGATGAATTATTTTAAAGTTAACTTCTTTTACCTTGTTAGTGACTAGATATTTATTACTGTGAGTCCACACTAATGACCAGTTAATATTCGTAAAGTTGCTATTCTAGTGTGTGGACGTAAATTGTAAATTGACGCAACATCCGGTCCCAGAATCCGGAAATTGCGTAAAGACGTGTGTTTTATTTTTAGCAGAACTGTTAGAGAGTAACTCGTAAGTATGTTTTAATATCAGCTGTGGGACTGTGGTTGGTAACTATTTCCTTAAAATCCAAACCGAATCGGTGATCTTTCTCAGGGCTTTACTTATTTATCCCATTTGTTTTGTTTTAACGTGATACATAAATGCAGCTAACAGCTGCTAACGCTAGCTTGCTTTCTACGGTTTCATTAGTTATCGATAGCATCTGTTAATTGCTCCTCTGGACACCAAACTGATGAAGATTTAAAATTTGCAGGTCTGCTGGTTGTTAGTGCGTGGAGATACAGGGCTGTTTAGGCGTTCATGTTACTTTTTAATGACCCTTGGTTTATGGTATTTAACACTTGGCAAGTTGCATTAACAAAATAATCGATTTTATATAAGGGAGTGTATAGAATAACTAAAATGATAGAGATGTTTATGTAGTTGAGAATTGTTACTGTTTATATCAAACAAATCATAGACTTTTCCACTTAGTTATTATACTTCTATCGATTTAAAAAAAAATTATAAAAGGAATATTTTATATTTTTATTCCCAAGTATTAAAATGGCCTTGCTAGAATCCTGACTTAAATATCACCTTCAGCACTCAGATCAATACCATGCTTTTTTGTACAAATCCAACCATGAATTCCTTGTTGTAAAGTCCTTACATAAACATATTTCCAGAAATACCTTAATTGTCTTGCAAAGGGGAACTTTTGGAAGAAAACATTTAGGTACAGACATGATTATTATATATATATATATATATATATATATAAAAAAAAAACTTCTCTTAAGGTTAAAGAGGAAATACCTCTGAGAGAAAAGTAAAAAATCATCATCAAAAACAGCAACAGGCCTACAGAAAGATGTAAAAAAAACAAAAAAAACAATGGTAAATAGGTAAAAAAAACTTTAACAGTCATTAACATCTGTGCAGATAAAGGCGTATATGTACAAAAACAGACATTGAGCAAATTAGAAACAATGCATATAACGCCAGAAAAACTGTAACAATTTCTGTTTTGCTTTTGTTGCTTTTTGCTGTTTTTGTTAAGATTAAAACGTCTTTATTGGCATGCAGTTAAACCGGAGTCAGATAATTTTGTTGGATGCACTAATCTGTCGATTTCTGGTGAACATAAAGAAATAAAAAAAAAAGATTCCAAGCTGAGTTTACAGAAAATGTTGTGTAGAGTCGAAGGGCTTCTGGTTTTATTCGTATGCAGCCAAGAAAACAAAAACTACAGCGTCTTTAAATTCATGCAATTTGAACATCTTTACCAAACATTTCTTTGTTATAAACAATTCTACCTGAGGATCTCCAAACTAAAGTCTAACAATGATGGTTGCTTAGTCGCATTCATTAAGTATTTCTTCATCCTTTCACAGACTTCTCTAAGCAGGTTAATATTTCCTGTAGTTGAGTAGTAGCAGCCTTCAGTCAGCATCCTGGAGGTTCCTTGGTAAATCCCAGGGACCACACTCCATCCGAGTCGCATTATGAAAAAATTACAGGCATAAATAATGAGAATCGGGACATATATATTTTCACAGATCTGTTGGTTGTCAGTCGCCAACTGTACGTTTGAAAATAGTCGCAGTATGAAAATGATACCGTGGCATGGAAAATGCTTTTTAAGTCAAATTAAGTTTATGTTTATTAATAGCATTTTAATCTCTGTGCAGGATTTTTTTTAAAGCTGTCAATAACTCATGTCTCTCCTATTTTTAAAGGAACACAAAGCTGATCTTCAGTTGTCAATATGGTAAGCTGATTTTTTTCTTTTTTTTTTTTTTATAACCTTGTAAGTATTGATGCAGTTGGTATGGGGAAAAAATCTGCTTCGAAACTGAATCAAACGCTTAAATTTTTTTTTAACTTGCATGTCCTATTAACATTGGTGCAGCTATAAACAGATATTGCTGAATAAAATTTTTTTATTCAATGACGTTAAAGCTTTGTAATTTTGTCCAATGCTTTGAAAAAAAATGTGATCTGAAAGACAAATGTTTGAAGGTGATGAAATGGTGGCATGTTTTTCTTCAGTAGCTGTGATTTCATTAAAGATGTGTATAAAACTATGTCGATATTCGCCATTTTGGTATTTTCATTAAATAAGAAATACGGTACAACAAAAATTCCCAAAAACAACATGACAGCTGCGCATGGAAACACATGAGATATATCCATAATACAGCCATGGCTCTAATGCTCGCGCTCATCATTGCAAACTGTATAGAGCTAAATCGGTGACTGCTTGCATGGACTTCAAATGTGAAGTTTGGCATTTAAAAAAAAAAAAAAGCAGACAATGAAATTTCCTATATTGCACATTAAAACATTGCTAATTCAAAATTCCCCATAAAGAAGCTAAAAATAACGATGATGCTGTTTTTTTTATCTGCAGCATTTTATCAATAAGAGAGGATTTTAGTGTCACTGCAGAGTTCCTTCAGCTATGATGTCACTTCAAGTTTGCGGTGTTTCTGCGTTTGGGGGGCGGGGCTAAACTTAAGATTAATTCGGAGATCTTTGCTGATTTAGCTCCATAGCAAATGTGAGCTCCTGTTCTCATCTTGTGAACACTCTGCACTTACCTTAGTTTGAAACTAGGTTTACTAGAGTACTTCTCTTGTTCTAGCCAAAATTAATAACAATAACAAAATGATGAACCTTACTGTTGATTGAGCAGCAGCAGTACTTTAACCAGAGCCCTTCGTTAGTTTACTGAGGGTAGCTAACAATGAGTACCTGAAAAACGGAAGGATCTTGAAGGAACCTTCAGTTTAGCCCCACCCCCCAACACTAAATCAGTGCTAGCCACTGATCTCTATTTAAGCCGAGCATACACTGTTCCATTTTTTGCAATCGTTGCACGCAGCTACAGTTTAACGAAACCGCAGGGTTTAAAAGTTAACACAGCTCATGATGTATGTTCTCACACTGTGCGACCTGACGCTCTGGTGTGATCTACCTGCTCACACTGTACATCTAAAAACCACGTCGGACTCGACTCTGCAGTGAGATGGCGCTACTCTGACTAGTCTATCAAGAAGCCAAATGAGTAGAAGAGGAATATGAAGCTCACTAGAGTGAAACGCTCTGCCTTGGCTATTTGTGCAATTTTGTGTGCTGAAAGTCCTAAAGGAAAAGGCAACAACATATTTGGACAAAGACATGACTGAGCAAACGTGGCTATTACAGTCTGTCAATTTTACAGAAACAACTCCATTTCACTCGCACCCCCGCCATGCTTCTGTGTTTTCATCTGAGAGAAAGCAGAGTCTTTATTTACACATGCGCACTGAGCGATTTGCCCACAAACACCTTACGAAGGCAGACTGAATTTCAAACATGTTTGATTTTGTCCCTACCTCACGATTCCTGATCGGGAGGTGGTCGTAAGAGGGTAATTGTCCCTCGTTACCCCCTGTACACTGCACGATCAGGCTGAAAGCCAGCCTGATCAAAAAGTTCTCGCACAGCGGGAGAATCGGCCTGAAAAGGGCATAAAACCGTACAGTGTATGCCCGTCTTATGCACTGGATTGCTGATTGGCCGAAGAAACTGAAGTCACTAGCCGCCATCTTGGTACTCCCCACTATCACGGAATCGTGCCATTAAAAATGCCCTTAAAGTAATGTTATGTATTACCATAACAATGTGATCAATATATATTTATTACATGTACATCATCAATTTAGCCCTTTTGACGCATCATCAGATAGTGAATGTGTCTGTGTGTGTAACATTCTTAATATCTGACTACAGTATTATTATGTTCCATTAACACACTTTTTGTTGTGATGGATTTGTATAAGAATTTATATTACAAGATTTATAGACTTAATGGACTTCATACTGACTACGTAATGTGATTTGACTATTTTTTTCCATAAATTACAGAGATCTACTAATGCTATGGAACAGACATTGTTTGTCAAAGTGATGAATTTATCTTTATTTTAAAAGTCTTAAGCCCCCCAGAAAATGAGAACGTCATCGTTGTTCAACTATGGAGTAACAATATGGCGGCTGGTGACTTCACAGCTCGGTGTACTACCAACAGCCTATCAGCAGTCCAGTGAATAAATAGAGATCAGAGGTACCAGCTTGTAGTGACATCGTAGCTGCAGGGACTCTGCAGTGACACTGAAATGACCTCATATAGAAAATAAATGCTCCAGCTACAAGTGACATATCATCTTAAATTTTAACTTTTTTCTTATGGGGAATTTTGAATTATTATGGTTTGAATGTTCATTGTTTACATTTTCAATATTTGTGAAATTTCAGTGTTTAGTTTTACAGTGTTTAAATTTTCAAGGCCAGATATCGGATTGGATGTCAATGCAAGCTGTCACTGACTTAGCTCCACATGAAAATACTACTTGAATATGTAGCGTCATAATCCTCCAACTACCTATGGTCTTCTTTTTTGTTGTTTTACAAGGCAGTAAGGTCCATTTATAGATTATGTGATTAATGTGATGCGAAAAGTGTTTCCATTGCTGTTTTCAATTACAAATATTTTTAAATGCGAGCATTAACACTTATCTAAAACCGTGTTTATCCAAAAATGGAGTGTTTCCTGTTCTTGTTCGCTGTGTCATTAGCGAGTGCAGCAGCCATGCCTTGAGATCACAGAAAACATGTGTTAAAGGCTGTATT